TGTTACACATGTGTAATAAATTGACATTGTAAAGGGTGTATTTCTGCAGCTACTCTATTACAATATTACTAACAGTGGTTCGAGAAGGTCACTGCATCAACATGCGTAGGCTGCAAAGGAACAAGTACAGGTTTATTCCATGCAGAAAAGAGAAGAAAAGAAACACAACATTTCAACCGTGGAGCCTTCTTCAGGCTAAAAGTGTGTGTGTATTTCTGTAATTGTGTTATTGACATTTGTATCTACATGGTGTCATTCCACATGATATCAAAGGTTTGAGATGGCTGTTTGCTTAACTGGAGTATCTGAATTTGTCAGGGGAGAGCTAAAAGTCTATGGGTCTGTTGTTTGTGTTGAAGCTCAGCATGTAATTGGTTATATAGTAGTACTGTATGACAGAATATTGGAGGTTTGAAAACTTAAGTCACAAAATGAATGAATGTCCATGAGTTTTAATTGTGCCATGGGTGGAAAGCAGAAATCGAGTGAGAAACCATGGGTTTTAATGTGCGGCTCTGTCCAAATGTGAGTGCGTGAATACTGTGCCAGGCATTATGGTGGAGGATCATCAGGAGGTGACCTCAGGTCATACTGTAAGTGTCAGGTTTCATTGAAATAAGCTGCAGGCAAGTGTGTGCTTGGGCTTCATTTGCTCATTGAGTGATAGCAGTGGCAGCCAAGAGAATTCTCTAAGCTAAAAATCAAATGATACAAAAGTACATCCACTGCGCTTAATGATGCAGCGTGTGAAGCAGTCTAAAATGCTTGGTCCTGCCTTGCAAAGTAAAAGACCTTATTTCCTGTATGTCATGAGCCTGCAGAAAGCCACAGGCAATGGAAAGAATTCATTACAAGCTACACATAGGTGGCATTGTTGCTCAGGTTATTTCACTCAGTTTTTTTTAATTAGCCTTCCAAACTTGCTCCTGCTGTTTTGTGATGAGGAAACTGCACTGTTTGCCAACTTTGCTTCGTATGACCATTGACATTTATCATGTTACCATATAAAATGTTTATACCTTGTGTTTTTTAGATTTTATGTAACATGGTGATGATAATAACAAGAATATTTATAAGAGGAATTGTATTCGTATGGTGCTTTTCATCTCAAAGAGTCTCAAAGCATCTGTTACAGGGGACACATTCTAACTGCCACTAGATACACCCACCTGGACGTAGCATCCATTTTGCACACAGCAGATTAGATGTTAAGGTGAGAAATCATTTAATTAATCTATTTTAGGGGTAGCCAAATTTAGAAAGTCTGAAGTGTAAAAGTAAGGACACTAAGGTTAATTCCCCTACTCTTACAGACAGTGGTGCAGAACCTTAAATGACCAAATAATTAGAACCTTGTTTTAATATTTCGTCTGAAAGATGGCACCTTCTGTAGCACAATGTTCCCTGTCACTGCACTGGGTCCACCATCCATCCATTATCAGAATGCCACCTAGTTCTGGTAGGAGTGTGGCAACGCAGAGCCCAGCCAAGAAGCATAAGTCATTCCATTCCAGTACTGATCAGGTCCAATCTTTGTTAGATTCTAAGTTGCATAAACATCAGGCTACAAAGCTTTAATGCTGCAGCTCAAAATTCCACTGTTAAAAGAATATTATAATATTAGCAATTTGAACATTAATTGATTGACGTTTTGTTTTATAAGGAGGTCCCCAAGTCTGGTGGCAAGGTCAGAGACATGTAGTTGAAGTTTACTTTTTAGGATGACGTTAAAAAAGGAAGTAAAATAATAATTAAGAAAAGAGTTTCTCCTTAAACAACAAAAATACTACTGGTATGTTTCCTGAATACTGCGTAATACTGTGTAATGCTATGAATGCCATATTTAACTTGACACTAGTAATAGATAATAAAACTATTTTATACAATTTTCTGTGATGATACACGTTTGGTGACAGAAGGTGAAATATATTTGGTTAAATGCGTAAACTGCCTTTCTATTACAAGGTTGGTCCCTTAACAAAGATTTTGAATCTGAGATGTTTTCTACATGGAAACTCCCTTAATCGAGTAACAAATTCAGTCTTTAAGTAGGTCAGCCTCAGGAATAGAGAAATAATTCAACAGCTTCTTATTAATTTGCAAATTACCTGTTTCATTTTTTTTAAATCAGTGAGCACAGCAAATATTTGTTTGAAACATTTCTGCTTTTATTTTGTAGTGTCTGTGATATGCAGATAGTATGGGCAACATAAATTCCTTAAGACAGTTGGGTTTTTTCTATCACAATTAAAATATAATAATACTGTAATGCTAATTAAATGAGTAATTTTAATTGTAATTGTAATTGTAATTAATGCTGTAAACCCTGTGTTGTCTGCAGTATTAATCCAATTCAATATTTTACTTGCAAACTAACATTGTAACATATTATTATATGCTACATATTATATTATATATTACCAGCAAATCAAAAAGAAAAATGAGGTGAAAAGGAAATTACCATATGTAGAAGATGAGGTGAATAAATAAAAGGTTTAAAATGTATATTGTCAGCAGTGTTACTAAGGAGACAGATGAGTTCAAAGGTTTTTATAATGGCCTTAGCAATTCACTTTGTACTGATGTTACCATAGCAACAGCCTGATGCTGCCTTTGGTAGAGCTGCTGGTTTAGATGGTCATGTGCTCCGTGCTGATAATAAAAAGAACAGCTGATCTTGTCCTAATTGGCGGTATGGTGGCTATGCTGTAGGTTGCTACTGATATTTTTACATGGATTCCCTCCAGCTTTTACATTATTTGCCTACTTTTAATTGATTACTGTGATATTATACATGCAGTGGATACACAATTCTATTGAACACTGATTGAACAGTCAACTGCTCACTCAAAATCATCCCGAACGCCGAATCTAAAGAACAAAAACATAAACTTTTCTAGTATCATATTTCATATTATTATTGTATTAATTATTTTAGGAATTTCTCCTCTACTGAGCATGCATGTTTTCCTCAGCCTTTACATCATCTTCTCTTCAGTAAGAAGTTACCCAGTGCCCTCTCAGACATTGGGCACTCACTGATTCACTCTTTCCATTCGTTTACCAAGTGAGAGAAAACTCCGCTCGACTTACTGTGTTCCTTGGTTGCATACAACAGATCAAAAACAGATGGGGCTTTTATTGTCAAGTGACAGCTGAATGGCATCCCTCCTGTCTGGACACTCACTCTGCCCTGGTACTTGTCAGATTACAGCGTGGGTATTGACACCGGTGCTCTGCCTTATTCCCCAAAGAAGCCTCACACAGGATGTAAATTCGGGCTTTTGGGAAAAAAAATCTCTTTGCCATTATTCACTGGTAGTGGAAGTGTTTCAGTAGGGAGTGTTTCAGTGTTTCATACATACAGTACACAGTTTAAGATTTGGGGAAGAAGAATTTGGGGAAGATTGCTTGGTTTTCAATCTGATTTTATTTTTTTATTTCTCTTTGCATCTTTGCTTTCGGTTTACACTTATTTTTATACTTTATGGCTTCTAATAGTTAGTTGTGAGTTATACAAAACTACACCGTCACTCCTGTTCAGTATTTTTAATGACTCTGAAAATCAATGATCTTTAGGTGTCCACAGTAAATCTTGGGGAAATGAGATTTAATTTTCGTCAAATTTGAGTCCCCACAGTAAGGCTTTAATTCAGTTCTAGATACTGTATAGTAACAAACACTAAGAGTGCTTCAGCACTTCCAAGTTGTACGAATATACTGATCTCAGTGCCAAAGAACATCCAAATAGAATTTCCAAAAGTATCAAGTTAAGCCACACTGATACAATAACACTTACTGTTTCAGCAGTTACTATAACCTGGATAATGCAGAATACTTATTGCTGATTTTTACTATAAAGTAAAAATATTTTCATGAAAAAAACAGGTTGTTGATTTTTAAAGGACCTCTAAATGACTATAATAGTTACTATTGCATAGAAAGGGACAAAAGTCCTTACGGATCTGTCTGGGAAAGCCTGGGTTTTGAAACACCGCCCTGTCTTTTTTTTAAAGTAGATGCTGACTTTTTTTAAAAGTAGATGCATGGTATGATGACAAACAGCAACCATTTTACATTTCGCATATGTTTTCATCACAGCCTTTTAAAACAAAATAAGTGTGTTGGGCAATACACTCAACAGCAGCGAATGAATAATTACATTCAGCCATGAGCTGAAACACAGAGGCAGTGCATAGTCTTCTTCTTTGTTCCCATTTTGCCATTGGAATGCAAGAAACAATGTAGGAGTTGAAAGAATGAGAGACAGGGCTAACTGTTCACTCAGTAGAGTTGCCATGTTCGTAGTTCTGTTTCTCCTCTCAGGAATAATGCTGGCTTGATTTACAGTATATGGGCATTCACCATTTGTTTAACAAGCATTTGTATTTCAAAACCTATTTGTTTCAGAATGTACTATTTCAGGAGGCAACTTTTGGTTCCCCCAGTGGGAACCTTGTGAAGAAAATTCCTGCTTAAATTGGAAGAGCTCCCAAGAAGACAGAAGGCTAAAGTTAACAAGATGAAGCATGGGGACAAACCACTGCTGTAATAGAGTTTAGATCTCCTGATTTCTGTGGTGGATTGCATTCAAGGGTTCTTTCTAATCATAAACACCATGTACCGTAGAAGAGAATATTAAAAGATGACCTTATCAGGGTCACATGGCACCTCGCAATGTCTGGATCCTAACAAGCATCTTAAGCCTTTTAACTACCTTCTCTGTGAGCTTCATATGTATGAACTGAAGGAGGAAAGGCAGCCCCAGTGCTTGTTATGGGAAGGCAGGCTTTCGTGAAGGGAAGTGTCTTTGACAGTATGGAAATTTTGCAGTTAACACAGAAGCAGCGAGAAAACTCAGGGGAGAAGGTACACAGAAACCTTGCTGGGATGGATCTCTTCGTTATGTGACAGCAGTTGGCAAGAATCTGCAGAGAACCACTGTGAGTGAAATGTGTTGCTGTGGAACGTACCTGACGACTGCAACTGAAACTGAGCAGGAGGGAGGATCTGCTCGGTATAAATGTTTAGTGTCCTTTAGGCAGCCACGGTATTATAGTGATGATTTTAATAGTCTTATTTTCCTCTGTTGACTAGAAAGAGATTTAAGAGGATTTCTCCTAATACCCTGTCATGTCCATGCACTTTAAAACCTGCAGACAGCAGTGTCAAAAGACAGCTATTCCCATCGCTAACCTATTTCTTTTGCACATTTTTCTGTGTGTCAATGAAAAGGAGACGATTTTATATTTGGTCAGTCTTCCTTTTTTTGTCATTTGGATTTAACAAATCATCTGGGCTTAATGGATTTACAACTGGAGGACCATAAATAACTGCAGCAAGGGTGACTAATGACAGACTTTGAATGCTGGTAAAAAAAAATGCTGGTGCGAAGCAAATAATTTAGGTTAGGGGGGACAGTGAGTCATGCACAGTTCAAGGAGAAAATAAAGAGATCAGGTTGCGATTGAATAAAAGTCCTTCTTTTGTTCGGGGAAACAATTGAACCTTGCCAACACCTTCAAGAGGACCCTTGTGACCTGATCACAAGGGTTTGGACTAGAAAGCCCTTTCTCCTTGGTTTTGAATGAACTGCGCGGAAAGGCTGGGGAGCGCTTGTCACTGAACAGAGAACAAACGTAGCTGGGGGCAGAATGTGCAGAGAGACGCACAGAAGACTGTTCCACCAGAAGTGGTGTGGTGTAGCTGAACGGGGGATTTAAGTTAGGCAGATTCTCTATGTGCACGGCACATGTAAATGAAGGAGATCACGCAGAGGGGGTTTTGTTGTGGCATGGTTCTATTTGTGTGAGGATGCTTATGTATCGCAGAGGCACATAAAGGATACTAAGGTCTGGAATGAAAAAGAAGCCAAAATGGAAGGACTTCTTTCGCCAATGAGAACGAAGGTAGGTTCTAAAAAAAAACTTAGCTTTTGGTGCTGCTAGGGGTTACTGGAAAGAATGCTTGAGAACAGGGGATGTTTCCTGTGAAAGGCGAGTCTCAATCTGTTTCTTGTTTGCCCAGATATGGCACTCAGAAGACCTCAGGTTTCAGACAGAGTATCTTAGCAGGGGTGTTAGCAGGGGAAAAATAGATTGTTATTTTTTTTTCTTTCATTCTTGAGAACTGGGTGCCTGAAGAAATAGCAAAGCCTCTTATGTGTTGCCTGTGGATCTGTCAGTAGTTTAACCTCAAAAAGCTTCAAAGAATTGCTGGCAGCTGTTTTTACTTTCTGGAGTGAGCATTTTAGTCATACCTACATTATTTACTTTTCAGATGAAAGAAAAGGCAAAGATTTTTGTTAGAAAATAATGTGAAATTAAAGCTACTTCAAAAATTGCCTGAAGGACTTTTTTTATTCAGGTTTAGTGATAGGCAATTGCTTTGATACAGTATTGCATAATTATATAAGCTTAAATACAAAACTGACTTAATATACAATACCAGTGCCCTAAAATAATGTACTGTATGGTATTTTTTTATTTCTTCATTAGTTAGTTAGTTTACTTTCCATTTCATAATGTTGGAGAAGCTTACTTCGAACTATGCTTTTAAGTCTTTTTCTGTTTCTGAAAGGATAATTCAAATTTTCTAGTCTACAAATAAAAAAAACCTCACCCCTCAAGTGCCAGAACTGTCCTGTCCTTATGAATTCACTTTCTTGCCTGTTGGTACATTTAGGCACACTCTTATCACTTAGAAATGCAAACTATAATATGTATAAAACAAAATTGGTTTAATTCAAATAATGTAAGATATTCAGTTCCAGTAATAAAATTTAAGTAGAAAATGAAATAGCAAGCATTGCTAATTCATTTTGGAGTAATAAATATGCATATGTTTGTGTTCCAGCCGACAAAATATGTTTTGGTGGCCAGATAAAATGGGATTTTAATGTTTTCATTATGTTTGCAAGAGCTGCCCACCAGTATGCTGGTGTGGATTTTGGGATGATTAATGTGCTGTGTGCTTTGCAATATACAGTGACGTCATTTGCTGGGCTTTGTAACTGCATGGTTAAGATTTCTCTGGAGACAAGCTGCTAATTCAACTGTGTAGGAGCAGTGTGCTATTAGAACAGTGTGCTACAAGCCGGGTGTTGGTGCTGTCTTATGTAGTGTTCATGATAACACTTCATTATTATGTTTTCAATTTAGAAGAAAAAAGATGGTTTAGAATTGATACAGTAGTTCCAATGCCCAATACTCTGATTATTCCAGCTGACTTCAGAATTTTTAAACTGATCTAGTCTTCACAGGTTTACCATTTGTAGCCCACCAATCTAGAATGATGCCTTGTACAAAATAACAAGGAGCAGGTGTGGCAGACCCCAGAAGTCTTTTCTATGGCGGAAAAGTGTTTCAGCCTTGGTCTTTTCGGATTTACTCTTGAGTATTAACACAGGATACGGAATACGCAGACCCCACACTTAATTTGGTTGAGCACTTAAAATCATATAACCCCCAACGTGCTGATTGATGTGGGTACTGTGTCTGAGGATGAAGGTTTGCTGGACAGTGCAGCTTGGCTGGGATGCTGTTTGTGTGTCATTGCTCTGCAGCCAGTGCGGGCTAAAATCACTATTAGCAGGCACTCATAGTTAATCCTCATTTGATGGCTTTACAGAATTATCACGCATGATTTCTCTCATATGAACTTTTTGGAAGTTAATCTAAATCAGGTACAGTAAATGGCCTTTTCCCAGGCTATCCGGTGATCTGTTATGGAGAAGCTAACGTCTGACAAACACTTACAAGAATACCTGGAACAGTGTTCTCTATGTGCTCTGCATGCAAACCAAACCATGAAAAGCTTTTGGCTTGCCCTAACTGTCTTCAGAGTGCTTCTGAAATAACCTGAGAGATGTCTTCTTATTCTGAGCTTTTCCAGATAATGACATTCAAATCTCACACTAAGTTAATCATTTTAGAAGACAGCAGCTACAGTTTAAAAAAACTGACTGTGGATTTTGTTTAATCTCTGGGGAAATACTATTTATAACAGGAAAAAGAAAAATGTAATTGTGTATTTTTTTACTGGAAATGTGTAGTACAGTATATTCACATAGAGTATTAACAGTTTATTCTAAACAGAAACCCCAAACCCTGACTGAAGGATTGAATTCGGAATGGGTCCACATTGACACTAGCATTTAACAAGATTGGCCATTGCCTATTTACCTGATGATCTTCATTCATCACTTCTTTGTTCCAATTCAGAGGACAATTTGTACAAATCTAAAGATTATCTGGTTATTGTACATGTTTAAGAGGTGTTATGTCAAAGCAATGACATTGAAATGATGTGGAGGTTCCTAGAATGGTTTTGCAATGCATTGTATCACCACATATGTATGACATGATTACAGTACTGTTTACCTTTTGTTATTCAAACCATCTTCTAAAATTGTTTATCTGTCTCTTTAGAACATTATCTAGAACATATAGTAACAGCATACAGTCAACCTTGAAATTAAAAAATTAGTGGCAGGGTAGTTTTTGACCTGCTTAGTAGTTTTCAGGATGTACGGCAGAAAAGTAGCAGCATTTTGTCAGCTGATGAAATTAAGTTTGAATACCAGTTCTCAACACAGACCTGAGGATTCCCTTTATGGGGAAAGCAGAGTACCCCTTTTGTTCATTTTTATCTCGTGAAGCCAACTGTCCCCCTATGATCCTTTAAATTCTCTCACTAATTATGCAGCTATTCATAGCTGATTTTAGGAAAATACTGATAGTACTGGTAGGCAAAGGAATAAAATGATTTAATCAATTCAGAAATATTGGCAATTTGAGCAAGACTGAAGGGAAATTCACTGGGGTTAACATCCCTACTCTTGTCAGCCCCAACATGGGTTTTTATTAATCCAAAGGTCCTTTGTCACCATATGGGGTAGTTGGCTTAGGAATTCTGGTACAGAGACTAGAGTGTCACCTACTCTTGTCCTCCATCACCTCATACAGTAGTAAACTGGATTTCCTTTATGGCCTCCCATCTCTGGATCGACTAAGGTCATCACTACATAGATTCTAAACACTGATGAGATAAGCCAGTAAGGCGGTAAATCTTCTACATCCAGGACATCCCCTCCATCTCAGTGATGATGATGTATTGAGTATAACATGGCTTTTAAGACCAGATACTCAGCATTTAGGCCTTCCTCCTGTAGCTTCCCCAGAACATGAAAACACCCAACCTCAGCCATTCAGCTACCTCTATGATCCTCTCTCAGGGGGAAAAAAGCAACTGATTCAGGTTCTCCAAATGTCCAAAAACAGAGCTCCATCCATTCATTTTCAATAATCCCTTACTCCAATTCAGAGCTGCAGTGAGCCAGAGCGTAACCAGGGCAGACCGTGGGTATGAGGCTGACACCTTAGATAAGAGTCCGGTCCATCACAGGGCATGATACTGCAGATACAGTATGTTTTAGATTTTGGGTTTTCATGTTCATGTGTATTTGGAATGCAGGCAGTAGGATGGTTTAATATTCAACAATTACATGCAGGTGTCGTTAGGACAACCCCAATAACAATTTGTCCTAATTCCTGGTTATTGTATTTAACAATACCACTACTAATAATACTTCAATGCATTATACAATGGTTTTCATCTCAAAGAGTCTCTTAAGTGATTTATACTTGGAGGTGACCCAGTACAAAGGAGAAATAGCTTCACAAATTGAACTAAGTGGAAACATTAGAAAGATCAGATTGTAAAACCCCACAGTGGACGTTAGCCAGGACAACGGGGGTAAAACACTTAGCATTTTAAAAAGTGCCATGAATCATTAATAATAGGTGTAGCTCTGGTCTTCCCCATCAGAATTTGATAACATCTCATTTAACATCTTCACTGAATGATGGTCGTTCCTATAACACAGCATCCGGGGTCACCAAACTAGGTCATTTGTTTGGACATTGTGGACAGAGTGAAGAGTGCCACCTACTGGTCCACAAACACCAGTTGCAGCAGCAACCTAATTTTCCTTATTTATTTCCCAATACATACACTATGATTATGAATATCTTTTAATCAGTTTGATTAGATTATAAATACAAATAATTCATAAGACACCATCAATTTCAAGAAGCATTGGCAATAAAATGTTTTCAAGAAGTTTTTTTATATATACATAATTTTGCCATCAGTTTGCATGACCACTTTTTCTGCATTCCTTTTAATCTAATCAGGTTTTTTTGTTCATATAGCTTCAGTACATATAGTTCCCTACAACTTTTTTATAGCCCCTATGAAATCTGAAGAAAAAAAATTTACACAACAAACAGATTTACATTATGTATAATGTGTTTTCCTTAAAAGAATGAGAAATATTATACTGTAATTGTAATAACATTGCCCGGAGCAGTTGAATCTGTCAAACATAATTAATATAAATTCAGGGTCATATTTATTCACACAAAGGTCATGTTTATTCTAACCCATATAGCTTTTAAGTCTTCTTCTGACATGGATTACTGACAAGATGCCTCCTGTAGTGTGCAATGAGGTTATCTCTCTTCTGGGAGGACATTTTTGTCCATTCCTGCAGGCAAAATTGATCTAGGCTTTTCAGACCCTTTGGTTTCTGTTGTTAACTACATTCTTGAGTTCAAACTACAGAGTTTGATTTGATTGAGATGCAGAGGTTGAGATGGGAACATTTATTTTATGTGTGGTCAATCATTTCTTTCTGGATTTATATAAGTGCTTTGGATAAATTTAATGCTGGAATGTCCACCCAAGATAGAGCTCTTTGATGGGGGACACCAGGTTTATGTAAAATATCTTGGCACATGTTGGAGTTCACTCTTCCAAATATTATCTTCAACTGTTACTTTTAGATATGTGGCTGCCTCGTGAATCTCTTGTCTTAAAGCCCAATACACTTGTTACGAAGCGTTTT